GGAGGGGGGGGGGGGTGAGGGAACCCCAGGCGGTGCACTCTTCAGGAGGGGCCCCTCTGGCCCCGGTTTCAGGGGGCCCCCGCCCCATGTCTGCGTTCCTTGGCGCAGGTTCAAAGCGACGGTGGCCGACAGCAAACGGGAGCTGGTGGGTCAGGGCTTCACCGAGTTCACCATCGAGGATTTCCACAACACGGTGAGTGCCGGTACCTGCGGGGCACGCCGCACCCCCCATGGCCGGGGGGGGGGGCGGAGCTTTGAACCGCCTGCCGTCCCCCGCAGCTCATGGACCTCATCGAGCAGTGCGAGAAGCAGCCGTGCTTGGCGGAGCTGTTGGTGCCCTTTAACGACCAGAGCATATCGGACTACTTGGTGGTGTACCTACGGCTGCTGGCGTCGGGGTACCTGCAGCGCGAGCACGCCTTCTTCCAGCACTTCATTGAGGGGGGGCGTTCCGTCAAGGAATTTTGTCAGCAGGTGAGGCCGCGCTTCGGGTGGGAGGGGCCCTGGCGACGCTCACCCCCCATGATGTGGGTCCTTCGGTCCGACTTCCCTCCCAGCTCAGTCTCTGCATCTCCTGGGATTTAATTGGCTGTTGTTAAGGAAGGGGGGGCGGGACCAAACCACCCCAACGCTCAGTGCCTTGCTTGAGGGTGTCGTTTCTCCCCTTCACCAGGAGGTGGAGCCCATGTCTAAGGAAAGCGACCACATCCATATCATCGCTCTGGCTCAGGCCCTGAATGTCTCCGTCCTCGTGGAGTATATGGACAGAGGTGAAGGGGGCACGGTCACCCGCCACGTCTTCCCAGAAGGGAGTGAGCCTCGCGTCTTCCTGCTGTACAGACCGGGCCACTATGACATCCTCTACAAATAGTGCCCCCTTGTGGTCTTGTGCTGCTACTGAATTAGGGATAAGCAATAAGGTCAGTAGTAACAATGTATTTATTTGTACAAAACACCAGTTTGGTACACAGGGAAAAAAATGCTAAATAAGTTAATTATTTAGTCAGGTTGGCCATTTTTCCTTACGCCACAGAAATAAAAATTTGTTTATAGTTGTGACTTGAAGTATTTTGCATTTGTACAGTTTTTCTTTTCCTGCAGTTTATAAATGGTTTTACAATTTTTTTTTTTCTTTGCCGAATTCGTTTTCCAATTTTAATGAGATCTGATTAATTTTGACTTATTTAATAAATCTGATTTGTCTGTCTGATTATTTCCCAAACTTGTTTAACTAACACACTATCTAGGCCTATAGCCAGAAATAAATTTTGTGGGCATTGGGCAACTGTATTGGTTGATTTCCACTTTGGGTGGGGGGGGAATCCTCTCTGTATATTTTGCTACATGTGTGAAGGTCTGAAGGTGGTCCTATCTTTTCTGTGTTTTCTCATGTCACTGCTTTTATCAGAGTTCCTGTAAGGACTTCTTGAAAATCATTTTAGTCATCTGTATCGAGGAGCAATATTTGACGCTCCATTGCTCAAAATTCACGCTGCTATCTGTCCCTGTGGCCTTATTTGCTGGTCCATCCACCCGTCCATAACCCCAGATTCGGTACGAGGTCGCTGAGCTTGGGGCCCATTCCACGAAGCAGCAGGCACAAGACAGAGGGCACACTGCCCAGGATGCCAGTCTTAGTCAACAAGCGTAAGGCGAAAAGTCACCCCTACTGACCAATTAAAATACACAAACTCGGAAGCTCTAGATATGCCAGCAATTTGGTAGAAATATACTAAAAAAAAAAAAAAACAATTAATATGCCAAAATAATACTATTACAGCGCTCACAGAAAGTCTTGGGAAACTTAATCCAGTAAATATACTGCAAACGTATTAATCTTAATACAAAAATCATTACTTTGTTCGCTTGTTTACAAAAAACATTTTATACCATAAACAACCAGTAGTTGTAAGTATAACATTCATTTCAAGTAATAATAAATCGAAACCCAAATTATAGTTCTAAACCAGCTATTCTGAGTTATGAAGTTGATTGTCAGGCAGTCTCATTAGGGACTTTTTAATGAGTAATACCTTTGCAATAATATAAAACACCAAATGTTTATGTTTAGTATCCCTTTGGGAGCCAGTGACTACAACTGTAATTAATAGCAAAATGGCAAGAGCAGAACTGGGGGGTATTCCGTGAAGGAGGATTTCTTACTTAGCCAGATAACTTCTTGTATTTAAGGTAGTCTGGGCTAAATGGACTTTATTTTCATTCCTTTTCATTTAGCCCAGACTACCTTATATCCGACAAGTTATCTGGCTAAGCAAGAAATCCTGCTTCATGGAACAGCCCACTGAATGAGTCAGTCCAAAAAAAAATCACACTTAATAAAGAGAGTGTATGTGCTGATGAGGTGCAGAGATATGCTAAACATTGCTTGTTAATTGGCTTTTGTCATGAAGCCAATAAATTAGCAACATTTTTAAAGCATTAAGCCAGCATCCTAAGACTTTCAGCAGGAGTATCGTCACTGGCGTCAGTAGCTCAGTTGAGGTTCCGGAACCTCACTTTGATTGGCCTCATTTTGGCGCCTTTCTCTTTCATGCACTCAATCTCCGGCTGTCATCCAGAAGGTCCGGTATGGCTTTTATCGAAGGAAGTCATCTTCTCTCTGAGATAACACTGGTTTTCCTTCAGCACAATCTCAGGTACATCTATATATTTTCTGTTGCTTATCCTGTACAGGCACATGGTGAGTGAGCAGCCTGTCCCAGGAACCATAAGGTCACACCCCAGATAAGATAGCCGGCCATCACAGGGCACAAGCTCACAGGCGCACTGTATGGTCCTGGGATTTGACCACATATACTTGGAGTGTGGGAGAAAAACCTTGTGTGCATGAGGAGAGCCTGGGACTGGAAGTCGAACAGGTAACCCTGAGGGTGTTACACCACGGCAAGGTAAAATTTTAGGGCATGTATGTGGCAATGGATTGGGTATCTGTACCTATGTAAGGTTGTGGGTTTGAATCCCATGACTGTCAGAATTATCTTTATTATGCCCTTGACCGAGATCCTTAACACGCGCTCTCTGACCCTTAGTTTGTGTGTCACTTTCGGTAAAAGAGTACTAAATTAATGTGACTGCTTGTTGCGGAAAACGACTTTACTGTTGTTAACCATTTTGGCCACTAGATGGCAGTGGCGTATAGCGATGAGACAAAGCAGGTTATTTTCTTTTTTACGTGCACTATAGCGTAGAGCGAATGATTAATAAATTATCTCGTGCACTAAAGTAAAGCCTCTTTTTTTTTTTAAAAAAAAAAAAAAAAACCTCCCGCCTTACTTTCCAAACAACACGGCACATTACATATGACAAAAAGTGACTAATCACAAATGCAATATCAATTAATTCGCTGCTTCCTTCATACAGATGAAAATTAAGCAAATGCATCTTCCTGAAATTTGATGCCACATTCAGCATCTTTTGGCCTTTGTCGTGCATGGCTGTTTTCAAGGGCACCTTGAGTCAGATTAGCCTTTCAATAGAGCCTCGTGCGGTAAGGAAACACACAGACTGCCTGTTAAAAGCCCAAACAACTAACTGTACATATATTCCCTCCGTGTCATTACACTCTTTTTTTTCTCTTTTTAATAACTAGGTTAAAAAAAATCTTTCCAAAACTTTTGGTGAACTGCAGGTCTAGTTTGCAGATCTAACCCGCGTTGAGCATACGGTCCGAGGGAATGAAGATTTTGGAAGTCCTTAAATCCCAATCAAAGTTCTGATAGGTGTCCCATCCTATTTTCATAAAAAATCAGACAGGTTGTTTTCAAAGTCGTCCTTAGAAAGTTCTGTTTATTAATGCGTGTTAAACCGTATTGTCACGCCCCGCTCCGTCCGCTCCTGATGTGTGCCACGCCCACCTCGTTACCTCGTGTTCAGCCCTGAGTGTGATCACCTGTGTCCTGTTAGGTCTAGCTTGTCTTTTGTATTTAGTCCTCGTCTGAGTCAGTCTTCCCCTGATCTGTCATTGTATTGTCCGTAGATGTCCGTCTTTCGTGAAATAAACCCCATTTACCTGACTTCCTGGCTGCTCTCGCCTGCTTCACTGCTCGCCTCCAAGCCGAACGTGACACGTATTTACTGTGCACATTATTTTTTTGGATTATTTTAATTAAGTGTATGTCACTGATTTATGTTATATTATGCTTTGCAGTAATTTTATTGAGGTTAATGTATATTTATTTTACATTATAATGTTATGTTGAATGATCAGATTTAATTTTAATTTATTTTATTTTATTTATAATCAGTTACAGCACTTTATTATTTCGGTTATATTTACATGTGTTATATTTAGGTTCAGTATGTTCCCTTGGTTATCCTTTTTATTAGTTCCTATCTGCCCTGGTACACAGGGGGACGGGTTTAGAGGGGAACGGTGAAGAGCGGCTGGGGAAAGAAGTTGGAACTTGGAAGGTGTTGTGCCGCCGTGTTGGTGATTATTAAACGTAATCGTTAGAGAAACTGTAGCCCGCATACTACCCACAGCCCGAGAGGGAGACTGGTACACGATATACCTACTCGTCAAGAAACCAGGGTTACACGTGTTTCGAGTCAGTATTTTACTTTCAGTGCTGTATCTTTAAGATTAGGGGGACGCTAATAGTAGTAAAAAAATAGTTAAGGCCTTTATTTTCAACAGCAGCAACACATTTTTGGATTGTTCTCAAATTATGAACCTGAGGAACTCCTTCAACTCTTCGCTCTCCGTCTGCTGAAGTTCTGCTTTGTCGCAGGAAGGCGGAGGAATGAACTCGTTTGGGTCCTCGATCCAGATCGCCAGGTCGTAGAAACTGGGGTGCAGAAGAATAAACGCAAAACTGTCAGTCACACGCGCACACGCCCCCCACCCCCCAATGCTGCAGCCTGTAACACGGGCACGCGCTTACCTCGTGAAGATCAGTCCTACGTTTTCGACGTGGATTTGGGAACTTATGGGAAGACAGCCGAATTCGGTGAATGTCAGCTTGTATTTTGCTGTGGGAGGGAAACACAGACAGATTAACTTCGAAAGGTAAACTAGGGGACCACCTGATTAAATTATCGCTGGGATTTCGAGCAGCGCCCGCTTGTGTTTCTCCTGACCACGCCTCTCTCACCCTTGAGCACTGGTACAGCGCCCGCCCAGGAGTTAACCAGCACCCCCCCCATGCTAGGGTCAGAGTTGGTCCCCAGCACCACCTTGCCCAGCAGTTTGGCGTCGGGAGGGATCTCTATCGGCCGGAAGGGAGTCTTCAGTGGCGCCTTCTTGCAGGTTTGGTTTGGGTACGATATCTCATAGGAGACCCCCTGTAAGAAGCAGCAA